TTCCGGGATCCGTGCCGCCAATACCCTTGGGGTAAATGGCGTCCGAGTCCGGAGCTGGATGACGGGTTCCCCGGAGCCCTCGGCTACTTTCTTCTGTAATTCCTCCATTTTGGCCATCATGGCCTCGTATTTGAGGTCTGAATGAGGGGTGGAGGTGGTGGCGTGAGCTTTGTTGGCCTCCATTTCATCAAGCCGGCGTTGGAGGGCCGCAATAATCTCGTCCCGGGGATCCTTAGGGAGGGTCTCCGCCCCCTGCGAACGAACCCGGGCCGAGTGGGCCTGGTTGATATGGTGGAGAGCATCATCGGCATGAAGGGGTGCCTTGCCTTTGTCCCGAGGGGGACGCTCCTCGTCTGCCCTCGAGACAGACCCTCCGCTTTCCTGGGGCCTTTGGAGTGCTTTCCCTCCGAGGCGGTCTTGGACCCCTCGGCGGTCTGGCCCTCCTCCGAGCCGGTTGAGGGCGGAAGTGCGGGGCCTCTCTCTGTTGTCATTGTGGCGGTCCCGGGACTGAACTTCCTGGGAGGCCGTATCTTGGGCCACTACCCCTTCGTCATTCTTAACCCGAAGGATAGGGTTTCCGAAGGGGTGTGGCGGAGGGGGAAGTATGATGTTCTCCCCAACCTGGGGTTGAGCCAGAGCCAGGGTGCCGAAGGCACCTGGGTTCTGAGTGAGCGTCTGGATGAAGGCGGAGAGCGCCGAATGAACGTCGATGGTGAGAATCGGAGAGCTGACTTGGTCATCGCTCCGGTTTTTCTTTTTGGCCTCGATGCCGAGGCGGGCATCGGGGGCATTCTGCTGAATCTGAAGGCGTAGGTCGACAGCCGCCTGTTCCAGCCCAGCGATGACACCGCCCTCGGGAGCCCTGTGAGAGGCTTCGGGGGCGTTGACGTCGCCGAGGGCCAGGTTCTTGTCTTCCACGTTTTTGGAGTTGGCTCGTGTTGTTCTCACCATTTTGGTAGAGGACTAGTGTTTGGAGAAGGGGGAGGGTTTCTTACTCGATTGTTTGGGCTCTCAACGAGAGCACCAAATGATGGATAGAGTACCCGGGGGGTATATATCCGAGGGGTTATTGCTGAGAATAACTTAGAGAGAAGTCAGAGCACAAGTAAGTAAGAGAGAGAGTGTATTCAGTATGAATGTCGTGGTTTACAACGGGGAAAATGGGGTGCTATTTATAGTAGCAATAAATGCCGGACAGGGACACGTGTCAAGCATCCATTGGCCGAGAGGTCACCTCATCCGGTTGGCGCTGGCAAACGCATGTGGCCGCATTTAATGCGGCTGTTGGATGGGACGTTGTACAGGGTACAGTGATCTGTACGCATGTGAGGCGGACATCATGTCGGGAGAGGTGCCCTCGGCTGCAGAGGACTAGTCGAGGGCTCTTGGTGCCGAGGACCCCTGAGTGCCGAGGGCTCCAGATGCCGAGGGATACTGTTTTCTGCCGTTTTTCTCCCAGTTTCTTAGTTTGCTTGGAAAACCCGTTCTGTGAGAGTTTAGAGCCTTCGGCCGGGGGGCCGAAGGCACCCTTGGTGCGCTTTGCGGGCTGCTTGGTACTCTGGGCGCTGTGATTTGGGCATGTTGGGCCTTTTGGGCCTGTTGAGCTTTCACTGGAGTAGTAGGAGTCTGTGGGCCGGGTGTTCCCGGGCCATATACTCCATCATCCTCTTTCCATCCTCATTCTTTTTTTCTCTACCTTTTTATATCAAATGTTTTCAATTATTTGTACAAAATCAGCTTATTCATTTTATTTGCGATTGTCAGTGTACTTTTTACACGAAAGTAAATGTTTGTGGACATAGACAAAGTTGTCCGTGTACACAGACAACTGTTGTCTGTGCTCACAACAAATACGTACTAATTGTTTGTGACCGTCATTTTATGTAAAAGTTGTGTACTTGTGTACCGCTAGAATTTCTGTTTTCATAACCATTTTTTTCTTAAACACTACCAACTTTTACTATTAAACACTTTTCACAAAATCACTTTAAAAAATCATATTTATCCAATAGTACATATTTGTTCTACATCACTTTAAAAATCACTTTAAACATTTCTAATGTAATAATCTAGATGATTAAAACTGCTCCTTCAGGGAGCAGAAACATAAGTTGGAGTGTTTGGATGAAAGTGCAGAAGTGATTATGGTGCTCTAATTTACTCCTAGAATCAGTTTTTTTAGAAGCTGAGAAGATCAACTTCTGAAAATTGATTCTAATTCTGCATTTGCTTTAAAAAAAATTGATAGTGAGCATATTTGTAATCATTTTTATCCAATAGTACGTATTTGTCGGTCACAAACAATTAGTACATATTTGTTGTGAGCACAGACAACTTTGTCTGTCCACAAACATTTACTTTCGTGTAAAAAGTACACTGACAATTGCAAATAAAATGAATAAGCTGATTTTGTACAAATAATAGAAAACATTTGATATAAAAAGGTAGAGAAAAAAGGAATGAAGATGGAAAGAGGAGGATAAAGATGATAAGATGATTATCCCATTTTTTTTTAGAATTTTAGAAGAAATTGGGTAAAGAGGAAAGAGAAGGGAGAGGGGGGAGATAGAAAGGACAGAGAACCGAGAGAGAAGAGGGAGGAGGAAAATGAGATTTTTTTTTGTTTTATACCATGTACAACTTGTGTACATGATGGGGGAGGAGGAAAATGAGATTTTTTTTTTGTTTTATACCATGTACAACTTGTGTACATGATGTAGTTGTGCACTTGCGCGCGTTTGATTAAACTAGATTTACATACAAAAACTGCCTGAACACCACACATAATGTCTAATTAAATGGGCCAGGGCCTATTTTGTGAACAAAAAAAGCTTTTTATACACACTTTTATACACACTTTTGTACACACCTATATTTGGGAAAGTTTTTTTTTTGTCTGTGAACATCGACTCACAGACAATGTTTTGCACAAACAAAATATTGTTTGTGAACCGGATTCACAGACAAAAAAAAAACTTCACAAATATGGTGTGTATAAGGTGTGTACAAAGGTGTGTACATCCAGCAAGTTTTGTTTCGTGAAACCCAAAAACACATTTTCCCCCGGACTCAACCCATCGCAGCTCGACCCATACACAAGTACTTGGCTGTAGCGTTCATGTTCGAAACTTGGACGTGTACATGAGTACATCGGACCAATCAAGAAATACTAATAGTGTTATAGTGTTAATCAAATTTAAAAATAGTGTCGTATATTTATAAATTTTCTTGTTTTCTTTTTAATCCATGTTTAACCTCTTGACACTCTTCGTTAAACTATAATAATAGTGAATTAGTGACTAACCTCTTGATATTTTTCCTCAACGAGATACTACTTTTGCCTTTTCATGTCATTTTCTTTTTTAAAAATGTTTTAACTTTTAGCATTAATTTATTTAGTCATACAAATTTATATTCAGAACGCAAATGATTTATTTGTTCAGTCTTTATATTAGAACAATATCAATAGCATTATGAAGGAAATGAGCATTTCGCCGTTAGCAAACAAGTTCATTCGCACGTTAATTTTTCTTTTAAGAAAGTAAATTTTTTAAAAGAAAAATTTGGATGTGTGTGTATATGGTGTGTGTTTATTATGATAGCATTTGGTCCCATTAACAAAAAAAAAAACTAATTTGGTCATTAGATTTATTAGTAATTTGGACAAAAAATAATTTCCTCCATTCTCTTTTATTGCAACAGTGAACCGTTTGCCAACGCACAAGTTTGACCATTAATATCTTTCATTCCTTATTAGTAAAAAAATTAAAAAATATATATATTTTGAAAATTTAGAATGAGAAGAATTTGACAATATTTTTTAACAATTTGATTTATAATACATTAATTAATAAAATATACTCCCTCCGTCCCAAAAAATACTTCCCGGTTTGAATTGACACATTTGTTAAAAAGTGAAATACAAAGGGAATGTATTGTTGTAGTTGTGTAAGAAAAAGGTAAAATAAATGTGAGTCACACAAATTGTCCAAAAAGAGAAAGTGAGAAGTATTTTTTGGAACGACCCAAAAAAGAAAGTGGGAAGTATTTTTTGGGACGGAGGGAGTAGTTAAAATAGAATATGTGAATAGTGCAAAAATTCCAATTTGAAATCAAAAGAGAACGGAGTTACGGAGGTAGCATATTATTTGAATTCATCATTGAGTATAATTATTATTTTTGAAAAAAAATCTCTAAACATAAGTAAAAGGTAACATAATTCCCAAAGTAGAAGTGTCATTGTTTCTTTCAAAAATAAGACTCATTCATTCACTTTTATTTTGAAAAGTTTATACCAGTATTATTTTATTCTTTTAAATGTTTGGTCATTATAAGACTACTACATATGTTCTATTTTGGGAATAAAATGTATATAGTCATATTTCAGAATTTTGTCAATGTTTAGTCTTATTTTGAGTAATTCTTTTATGTTTTAATATCTAAGGATGATATATACCTATAAAATTGCCTTAAGTAGGAGTAAAGACTTTGAAAATTATAAGATGTGAATATTATTAACATAGTATGTTTTTATACCCTAAGTATGAGTAATTACTTTCAGACATGAAATATACTCACATTTTTGGGAAAACAAAAAATACTCTTACTTTGAATTTTTTATTCCTATTTAAAGAATGTTTCCTAAAAACTTTTAAGATATAAGATTATAAGGTGTATGCATAGTTTAAATTTTTGTTAAAATGTCATAACATATTCTACGTCGTTTTTCACGTGTATATTCCGCAAAAATAAAATACAGGTGTCGCATTTGTGACTGTGAAATACATCAAAATTCTAGTGTATAAGTAATGACAGTATAACTCAATCAATTTTTAAAAAAAGATGTAAAGAAGATAAAATTAGAGAAGGAATTTGTTAGCGACATACACATACGGAATTATATACGAACAGTCTTCAGCGACGTGTACGGAAACGGCCAAGGAAGAAATGATTATTTTCCAATAAATACGAACACAAATTTGACTGATAACTAGCCGTTACTTACCTTCTGTAATCTCAAAATCAAGTAACCCGTAATCCATTCACGTGCCCTCTCCAATCTCCATCTCCCCCTACGGCAAATCTCCTGAAATTAGTAATAACAAGTTTCACATGAGCGAATCCATATCTTGACCGGGCTTTCCAAATTTTGCTCCAAGAACCAAGTTTTGTTCATAATCTGCAAGAACTCTCTTGAAGCAGTTTCCTTCTTGGGTAAAATCTTCACTTTCTTGCTTATTTTTCCTTTAGAAACTGCGTACTGTTTTTCGTATGTCTGGGTTTCCTAGCGCCTTTGCATTTTCCATTTCACCCAGACTCTTCTTAAGGTTGGAAAGTCCCATCGGTCCCGTGATTGCTCTTTTCGATTTCGGGCTTCATGATTTCGTTTTCTATAAATTTGGGTCTCAATTGTGCCCGCACGCTGCATTTACTAAGTCTTGGTCTTCAGGCAGTAACACATAGGTGATAGATGCCATCGTTTTCGTAGTAATTTTCTGCTATTGCTCTTCGACGCCAGATTTGTTGTTTCTTAATCTTATGAAGAGTTGACTGTGTTTTGATGGGTCTTATTGGGTGTTTTTTGAACCCGAGCAATGTAAATCAGGAATCGCAGGACATCAATCTGCATCCTATGCATTAATTTCCGTGATTTCAGACCACATGGGATTATAGGAATGGTTGCTTGTATTATGCTGCTTTTATGATATTCTGATAAATTCTGATAAATTGTTTTATGTAGGCATTCCATTTTTGACCCCCAACTGTTTGATTGAATGGCGTAATAACATATGCTGCTATATGTGTGTTTGCAGAATGTTATAGTTTCATCAAGATGAAAATAGGCACACCAAGGACACCATTGTCAAAGATTGGAAGGAGGACCCCTTTAAGGTCTGCCATAAATAAGACCCCTCCATGTAATACTCCAGGTGAATCAAAGGCTCATGAGGAGAAGATTCTTGTCACAGTTCGTGTGAGACCACTGAGCTCAAAGGAACAGGCAGCCTATGATCTTGTTGCCTGGGATTTCCCCAATGACCACACTATTGTTTCAAAGAATTTGAGCCATGAACGCCATTCTGGCTCATACTCCTTTGGTACATATTATGCATCCCAAGAATTGGTATCTTATAAGAGTACTTTGGGATATCAATTGCTTATTTTCTTGTGTATGGGTTTCTGGCAGATTTTGTCTTTGGTCCAATTTGCTCAACTCGAAAGGTTTATGAAGAAGGGGCTAGAGATGTTGCTCTTTCTGCACTTAGTGGAATCAATGGTAAATAGGAGTTTAACTTACTTCTGTTTGACTTTCAATATCCTTCATGTTGCTTGGAGTAACTAACACCTCTGATGTTTTACATTATTTGAATAGCAACTATTTTTGCATATGGGCAGACGAGCAGCGGGAAGACATTTACAATGAGAGGAATTACTGAAAATGCTATTAAGGATATTTATGAACACATAAAAAATGTAAAACTATTTATTTTGAATTTCTTTTGTTGCACACTTTCAATACCTCAGTGGTGTGAAGAAATATTTTTAATTGATTGTCTTGTCTGACAGACTATAGATAGGGACTTTGTCTTGAAATTTTCTGCTTTGGAGATATACAATGAGACTGTTGTAGACCTATTGAACAACGAACCTGGCACACTTCGCTTATTGGATGATCCTGAGGTAAGGATGTGTGTGCATGTATTTAGCAAGGTTGCTTTTTTTAAGACTGCCATTATAAGGAATTTTGGTTTTGTGACTGCAGAAAGGAACTATAGTTGAGAAATTAGTAGAAGAGATTGTTGAGGATGACCAACACCTGAAGAATTTAATTAATATTTGTGAAGGTTAGTTTACTGATCTAAATTTATCATTTCACATTTTACTGATCCTAGGCAATATTATCTCTTCAAGAAATTTATCATTTGTGCTAAAAATGGGACTCATGTATTCCTTTAAGAGATAGGAGTAGTTAATAATCCTTTTTTAGGAGTGAACGAGTCCTCTATTCAAGAAAAAAGCATTGATTGGTCTATTTGAAGAAATGTGTTATGGTTTAGTGAAATTTTTGCAATTCTTTTCTGTTACAAGTTTTATAACATATAAATTTAATATACTCATGTACTTACAAATACCTTCTTTTGCAGCTCAAAGGCAAGTGGGAGAAACCGCTCTAAATGATAAAAGCTCGAGGTCACATCAGATAATCAGGCTGGTAATCTTATTTTTCGTTTTTTAACCCTAAGCATGCAACTGACATTTCATGATACTTGTATTAATTTATTATTCTTCCCAGACCATTGAGAGCAGTACTAGAGAAAATTCTGGGCATGTGAAGTCCCTCTTAGCAACTCTGGTATGTGTAGTGTTCTAAACTTTTATAATTTTGAGCATGAAGTTGGATATATCATATGTAGTGCTAGAAAACTGCAGAACCTTGTGGATCTAGCGGGAAGTGAGCGTGCAAGTGCAGACGGTACAAGGTTGAAGGAAGGAAGCCACATCAACAGAAGCTTGTTGACCTTGACCACTGTAATTAGGAAGCTAAGGTAAAGAGAATGTTTTGGTATTTGAATGTTCGGATCTTGGGAAATGCTAATGAATGGCGGGAAAACATGACAGGGGAAGTTTTTTTCTTATGTGCTGCTTCACCTTGGAAAATGAAATATAATTAACATCTTATAAAAATAAAGACTTTAAATCTCTTAGTCTTTCTATAATTGAAGTGAATAACTAAAATGAGTTGAAGAGATATCTAAAACAAATGTAGTGAGTTTGAGTCTGTCCTTTTTCTCCCCAAATTTTGTTCCCTCCCAATTATCTTCTCTACTTTCTTCTCTGAGTATTTTCTGTGATAAAAACAGACCCTTTAACCCAAATCTGACAAGCATTAATATGGTGTGCTTTTTGGATTTGTTCTGTTGTAGTGGAGGGAGGAGAAATGGCCACATTCCTTATAGAGACTCAAAGCTGACAAGGATCTTGCAGGCCTCACTAGGGGGGAACGCACGAACTGCAATCATATGCACTCTGAGTCCGGCATTAAGCCACGTGGACCAATCCCGTAACACGCTCTCATTCGCAACCAGTGCCAAAGAAGTCACTAATACTGCCCAAGTCAACATGGTAGTATCAGAGAAACAATTGGTGAAAAAGTTGCAGAAAGAAGTTGCAAGGCTTGAAGCAGAGCTCCGAACTCCGGAAACTAATGCTGCTCCATGTCTAAGATCTTTACTTGTGGAGAAAGAAATCAAAATCCAGCAGGTAAAGGAGAGGACTCCTAATACAAGTTTGACCAACAAGAACAAACTAAATTGTGTCATTTTCTTGGTACATCTGAAAATAGTATTAGATGACTCTTTGAAGCCAACTTTCAACAAATCCACCATCCTATCCTATTCTTTACCATTTTTATTTAAAAATGATTCAAATTGTATCTGTTTAGGAGTTATACTTTTTGTCTCATTTCTTCCTTAATGCTCCATCAATAGATAAAGTGGTCAGATAAATTCAATCTCCACGTCATTCCAACTGCACACGTGTCAAATGAGAGCTCTAAATATAATCCCCCAACCCACTGCAATCAATATGCCACTTGAAATAAGAATCACGGAGCATTAAGCCGGAAATGAGATAAAAAGTATAATAGGAAAAACAATACATACTTTGAATCTTTTTTAGATGAAAGGTAAGGAATATTGAATACTTGTGCATTTGATGATAGCTGGGGATGTATTTAGACAATTAAGTTAATACGGTCTCAGTAGAAAGATCATATATTTCTGCATCACACTTTTCGCAAAAATAACATACTTGAAACTTAACTTATTTGGGTATGTTGATAGGCACGACAAATGAAAAGATAAAGCTGTGGAATATATAGTAATGATGTTGATTCTGGTATTTTTTTTGAGTTGCAGATGGAGGAAGAGATGAATGAACTGAAACGTCAAAGGGACATTGCTCAATCCCAGCTAGAATGTGAAAGAAGAGCAAGAAAAGAGATCAAGGTATGGATCGGATGTGATTCGATCCCTCAAACTCATGATACAAATACTATAAAGTTGGGGCATTTTAAAATAGTGTTAAGTTATGGGGTGGTCATTGCAGGGTTCGGATGATCACGGTCCATCTCATCAAGAAGTAGTCAGATGCCTTTCCTTTTCCACTGACGAAATGGTTCCAAGTGTTGGTGGGTCCATCCTATTAACACCACATGGTAGAAGAAGAAACTTAGGTGGGAGAAACAACACTTCACTAGTCAGGCAATCAGCCGGTTCAACAAACCCGTCCATGCTGGTGAATGAAATCCGAAAGCTTGAAATGAGGCAAAGGCAGCTTGGGGAAGAAGCAACCCATGCACTTGAGCTTCTCCACAAAGAGTTTGCTTCACACAGAATAGGCACTCATGGTGCCACAGAATCTATTGCGAAATGTCTGTCGGAGATAAAGGGTATGCACACTTTAAACTCTTCTGTTCCAGCAGAGGAAGTCCAGATCAAAGACAAAGCCAGCCTGAAGGAAGAGATTGCCCGTCTGAGATCTCAAGAAAGCAGCATTAGATCTCTGGAACTGAAGCTCGAGAACGTCCAGAGATCTATAGACAAATTAGTCGTCATGCACCTCCCAAATGACGAAACTGATGAAACTACTACCCCAGAGTTGATGAAGACCCCATTTTCATCAAGAAAGAAAAAAATGCTTCCTTTTGCAGCACTCACCAACACTGCTGCCAACATGCCAAACTTGATACGCTCTCCCTGTTCACCTATGGATAGTGACATTGAGAACAAAGCACCACCAGAGAGTAATAACAAAAACACCTCTTCAACGGAGGGCGGTACCCCTGCAAAACAATCATCAAACTCTGTCAGTGTCAAGAAAATGCAGAGGATGTTCAAGAAAGCTGCCGAGGACAACATTAGGGACATTAAGGCCTATGTCACCGAACTTAAGGAACGTGTGGCTAAGCTCCAATACCAAAAACAGCTCTTAGTTTGCCAGGTGACATTTTTTATGATAAATGTGTTTTTAGTCCTTGCAAAATCTTTGGTTTAGATACCTGCAATTTTTTGATTTTGTTTTGCATTCCTTCAATATGTGCTGTTACTTTTCATTCCTCTAATTTTGTGGCAACCTCCATTTAGAAAAAAAATAACGCTGTTGTGAATAACTTTCTGCTTCAGTTTTTTATAACTTTGTGGAAACTATTCATGATGTTATGGCTAAGTGAAGCTTTAAAGCATTGATGTTTATTTTATTATTGAAAACTTCCCTAACTGGCTAGTGATTAACATGAATGACCTGTAAATCATTAAAAAGGTATTTTAACTCCCATATTAAGAAAAGATATGTTTTGAATGATTGTTGGTCCATATATGCTCGAGCAGGTACTGGAATTGGAGGCAAACGATGGTGCAGCCATGGAAGAACCTGAGTTTAACACAGAGGAACACTCTTCACCTGCTACATCGTGGCACTTGGTATTTGAGGAACAAAGGAAGCAACTCATAATGCTGTGGCACTTATGCCACGTATCGCTGGTCCACCGCACACAGTTCTTCCTGCTGTTCGGAGGGGAGTCGTCGGACCAGATATACATGGAGGTGGAGCTGAGGAGGCTGACATGGCTAGAGCAACACCTGGCAGAGTTAGGGAATGCCAGCCCAGCACTCTTGGGCGATGACCCGGCAAGCTACGTCTCTTCAAGCGTTAGGGCGCTGAAGCAGGAGAGGGAGTACCTGGCCAGGAGGGTGAACTCTAAGCTAAGTGGAGAAGAGAGGGAGAGGCTATATGTGAAGTGGGACATTCCGGCAGATGGGGGCGGGGGGAAGCAGAGTAGTAGGAGGAGGAGGATGCAGCTTGTAAATAAGCTATGGTCTGATCCACTGAGCATGGAGAATGTGCACGAGAGTGCACAGATTGTGGCGAAGCTGGTTGGGTTTTGGGAGACAGGGGAGCCAGTTTCTAAAGAGATGTTTGAGCTCAATTTTGTATCACCCTGTGATAAGAAGTCATGGATGGGCTGGAGTCTCATTTCTAATCTCTTACACTTTTAGCCAGCCAGCCATTTTTCTTTACACTTGTAGAAAAAAACAGCCTCAACTGCACTGCAACAATGATGGATGGGATTATCCAACCATCTTTTTGTGTAATATATATGCAATTTATCTCTTGCCATGTTTGTGCCATTCTTACTACACTGAAATATGGAAGGAGTTATGTTATTCAGGTTCACAATGGAGTAGAAAAGAACCAAAAAACAAGGAACTCAAGAGAACGGTTGTTCATAATTCAATTCTTAAGGAAAAGTTTTGTAATGGAATTTAATCATTTCTTTTATTTCTTAAATAAACAAATTCCACGAGGGAAACGGCTGCAAGTAAAAAGTACAAATTGAAAAGGAGATAAAAAAGTAAACTGAAATTAAAGTACGGTGAACTATTAATTCCAAAAAATGTAACAAAGTACGGTGAACTACTATTTTCATTTTCTGTTTCTAAAAACAGGGTTCTCTAAAATATGAAAGTTTTGAGTTTAGACCGATCTTGGTCGCGCACGTTAAGGCACACGATGTGCGCGTCTCACTGTAACTAAATCTTTGTTTTCTCATGCTCTTGATGGTGCACGTATCTTTCTGCCATTTATTTGGATTTGATTATGACTCCTTCACCAAAGTTGTAGCTAATGAAGTCCTCTATCCACAACAACTTGAATCACTGAATTTGGAAGATCCAGTCTATGGCTAAAATAGTGAAATGAGTTATCCCATATTCTCACCATAATATCTTCACAGTATTTGTAGCCCATTGACTTGAATCACTAAGTTATCCCACTCAAATGAAACTTGAATGGTTTTATCTGGAATTTTCGCGAAAAGACTTGTGTAAATGATGGTAGAACGTCATTCATACTAAAGGTTGTGAGTTAGGCGGTGGTCAAAATAGCCATTTTTCACGCTCTAACTCTCATTCTTCATCTCCAACTTTATCTTGAGTCACTTTCCTCTAAAACACAATAGTAGTCCTTCCAAAAAACATAAGTCCTTCCTCTAAACCTTTGTGAAATATGAGATGGTTGTGTTAACGTGAAATGACATAGGGGGTGTGAACATTGCAACATGAGGGAGAGGTGATGAAGGCGATAGGGAGCTGAGAGATAGTCGATGGTTGATCGAGAAGGTTGGGAGAATTAGGGAGAGTCATGGTTATATATGTGTATTTATTTATATCAATGTTAAGAACAATTCAATTTTTAACTTCTAATATGGTGTTTTCTAAATCAAAGCTCAGTCTTACTTTTTTTTGTTTTTTTTACTCCAGGGGGGTCATGGGGAGGACGGCTGGACGGCAAGTACATTTTCTGTAAAACTCCCATTTCAAGAGCTAATTTTGAGCTCATTTCAATTTTTGAGCTCAAATCTTCAACACCAAAGGTCAAACTTACAATCTAAGCTTCCAAGAGTCAACCTTGAGATTAAAAAAAAAATAATTAATTAAAAAAAAATAATTAATTAATTAAAAAAAATCTCAAGGTCAAGACTATTTTTACTCAAGGACCAAGCTACATTTCAAGGTAGAGAAAATTCAAAATTGCAGAAACTTCAATCAAACTCACGTCTACGGTCAACATTCAACAATCAACAACAATGGACACTATATGTCACGCCCCGGACCTACCCGGACACGTCAACAACCCGCCGTACAGTACGAATAGTCAACCGCAGTCCGACTCATCCATACTATACAAGGCGTCTTGAATACCATTCACACATAGTACATCCATAAACAAACATAATGTAAAATAAACATTTAGAGCAGCGGAAACATTTAACGTAAGTGTTTATGCCACACCTTGGCAATCATGGGCGTACAAGCCCCCAAATAATTATTCAAAAAGATAATATCCATGAGCATTATTTAAGTTGTTTCAAAACAGAAACGGAAGAAGCACGAACCACGTCTTCTCCCTTTGATCTTCCCGAAGCGACGAGCGGTGGCAGCAACCTTCAAGTTCTACCTGAAACTGTGAGGTGGCCTCCCCCGTGAAGGGGAGGTCAGTACTTAGAAATATTTGACAAGTACAATAGCAACTATACTAAGTATAATTGATGTTTTAATTTCTAAGACCCTCGACTTAGGGTACTATTATATTATATGCCATAACCCTCGGTTACCCCTTTTTCTTTTAACTGTACTTACTTTATATAGAGTCAAGTAGTCGGCCCGTGGGCCCATATTCATTTAGAATTCATCATTTCCATTCCTCCGTGACCGCAAGTCACGATAACCCCGTGGGGTCCCATCGAGCCCCAATTGTATAGCATGGGCTCGGCCCAACTACATTTCTATACAATCCTCTAACTCAATATAACATATCGAAATTTGTATGGCAAGGGCTCGGCCCAACTACGTTTCCATACCAACCATAACTTCGTGGCAAGGGCTCGGCCCAACTACGTTTCCACGGAGATCACATATACATGGCAAGGGCTCGGCCCAACTACGTTTCCATGCTAATCATATTACATGGCATGGGCTCGGCCCAACTACATTTCCATGTCATCCTAGAGTCCAAACTCTAATTATCTTCATAATCAAATTCTCAAGCAAATCATATGCCTAGAATCAATTCCCGTAGGTGGCCTTTAGGCCTACCCCTATCACACCTTAGTGTTCATACAATTCAACCATAAGTATCTCTTGAGACTACTTAAGGCATATCTATTCACAATCCTACCTCTTAGGATTTGTTTCACCATTAATTTATATTAACTTCCCGACTAGTATTTTGATACTAATTGTATAATCTTAGAACATGCCAAGTTCCTATTTTCCATTTGGCATTTCATTTCAATTGATTTCCCACCCCAAGTATAGTTTGATCTCAATATCAAAAATATCACTTTAATCCATTCATGAATTTTCATACATGAAGTAAAGTATATTTTATCACAATGTCATCATAGCAATTCCATTAACATGCCGTTCCATTCATTTCACATAATCATACACAATTATTCTAAATTTGTATATCATGCTTCACTTACTCATATCCATATTATTTTCATTTAGGCATTATTAATCATTAATAATTCATGAAAATCTCATCTAATTACTTTAGGCAATCTTATGAAATTAACTCACTAATTATAAGCAATATAGTCAGTCATCCTCACCTCGTGATGTGCTACAATAGTTGCCTTTGATAAGCCCCTCGATAAATCCCCGTTCCAAGCCGATTGAAAGTGAAAAGCTGGATTTCTGGGCCAAATCCGGGCGGCTTTCGTGGTCTGCAACTACGACTAGCTCCCTTGAAGTGGCGGTTTCCGGCGATTTCGACTCCTATCGATTCACCAACTCTTCTAAGTTAATTAACACCACTTTATATCGGTATTCTACACTTTTAAACGTGTAGAACTCATGGTTTAATCCACCATATGATTTCTCAAAAATCATACAATAATAAAACTAGTTAAAGATTGTTTATTGAGTTCTTACCTCAAAAACAACCCTCTTCTCTTTGGATTCTCTTCCTTGCTGCTTGGACTATGAGAGGAGACTTCCCTAGAGCTTCTCTCTCTGCCTTGGCCGAGTGGATGGTTGAGGAGATGCTAGGATGAGTGATTAACACCATCCACCTAAGTCAACCCATAAAAACAAGGGAGTAGGGTAATGGTGGCTATGGGTTTTGTCTCTTGGAGACTTCCCACCTACTAGGTACACCCCTCAGCTGCTTCCTTGTCATTTGAAGCACATTGGGTCGTGGGGTGGCCCCCACTCATGTGGGAGGTCATCCCCTTATGCCCCGATGTGTATAATCGGCCCCGAAAGTTGTATTTTTCGGACTGTTTTAGTCATATTTTATTTTATCGGGCCGGATAAAATATATCACGCGTTTCCAATAATTATGGGCCTTTAGAATAGATATACATTACCCAACATTAATTTAGGAGCCTCCGAAACTCATTTCGGGCTGTTATCCGTTAAATTGTCAATACCGGTAATTGGGCCCCGTTTGACCAACCGGTCAACTCCATGCCCTTCTTATGGCCCAAATAAAATATCCACCACCATATAGATGTCATCTAGACCAAGATGAATATAACATGTGGTTCGGGAATTATCGGGCGGTCCCCGTTCCCACTGTGGGCCCCACATGCAATTTACTATTCACGTAAAAGAAAAATAAAAATTTACAATTACGCAAATTCATAAATCATCTTTCAAGGTTTATTACATAATTCACTAAAAGTAAATATGCCCGGGGTCGGTGTTACAAGTTCACCCCCTCTTAACGGGAATTTCGTCCCCGAAATTCACAATGCTCATTCAAACAAAAACGCGTATTGCTCCTTCATCAAGGCCTCCGTTTCCCAAGTTTCCTCCTCAACTCGATCACTTTTCCAAAGGATTTTAACCATTGGAACTTTCTTGCTTCTCAATTTCTTGACTTGCCTGTCAAGTACCTTCACCGGTTGCACGGCATAATTCAAGTCTTCCCGTACTTCCACGGGTGGCTTCTCTAGCACATGAGATGGATCCGGAATATACTTCTTAAGCATAGACACATGGAATACATTATGTATTTTCTCCAATTCCGGAGTCAATTGTAATCGGTATGCTACGGCCCCAATTCTCTCAAGAATTACAAATGGCCCTATGTAGCGTGGGTTAAGTTTCCCTCGGCTCTGAAATCGGATGATTCCTTTCCAAGGTGAAACTTTCAAAAATACCTCATCCCCAACCTTAAACTCTAAGGCTCTTCGGCGCTTATCGGCGTAGCTCTTCTGTCTATCCTGTGCCGCCTTAAGTCTGTCACGAATCATCTTCACCTTTGACTTGGTGATTTCCACTAGTTTCGTGCTCTCAAGTTTGGCCATGCCAACCTCATCCCAGCACAAAGGTGTACGACATCTCCTCCCATACAATACCTCGTATGGAGGCATGCCTATACTCGCCTGATAACTGTTGTTATAGGCAAACTCCGCAAGTGCCAAATGGTTGTCCCAACTCCCTTGGAACTCCAATGCACAAGCTCTCAGCATATCCTCTAATATCTGTATAACCCGCTCGGATTGCCCATCCGTTTGTGGATGAAAAGCTGTACTGAATTTCAGTTTCGTCCCCATAGATTCTTGGAACTTCGGCCAAAATCGTGATGTGAATCGCGGATCTCTGTCGGATACAATGGTTATAGGAACCCCAGGTAGCCTCACGATCTCATCCACATACAACTTG